TTAAATCTGACACCATAAAACATATGCTTTAGAGTAAGTTTTTTATAATCTTATTACTAATTTTATCCATTAAATAATTACCACTTCACTTTTTTTCTAGCATAATAAAAACCTAGAAATGGACATCTGCAATATTTTGCTGATTTAGTTACTTAACTCAGTTCAAATGATTACAGCAGCTCCTTCTGAGCAGCTAAGGTCTCCCTCATGAGAGATGTTCATGCTAGAAGGCCTTAACAAATCAAACCTGAACCCCTGAGCACTTCAGGAGGAGCACCTCATGGGTGGTGCCAGGTGAATCAGCAACATCCAGCAGAGCAATTCCAGCTCAGGGTCTGTTTACAGGCAGGGTTAGTATGACCCTGGAGGTAAGACAAAGCCCTAACAGAGCCATTTCCTTCTCACACTTCAAAGAGAGGCTCTAGGCAATTCACACTGGAGTTTTTTTGTGAGTCAATGTTGTTCCACGGGGCAACACCAGAGTAATGGTCTCAGAACTGCAGGCGTGTTGGAGCTGATACCACGGTGGACGTTGGGCAGCAGATGGTGGGAAATGAGTAGGTATTTTCCCCCCTGAAAAGCCTCCAGAAGCCTTGTCTTGTACATGTCTCCACAGGCATGCACACAGATACATGCACCCTCACTGTAACTCTCTCCAGCAGTAACTTCTCAAGGGCACCCCACATCCTAGTGCTTACTCTTACAACAAACACTTCTTCACCTCATGGTTCTTGAGGAATCTGTAACCTCAGTGTGGAACTAAAAGACTCAGAAACCCAGAGGGACCAAAAAAGTTGTATTTTTTTCAGGTGTTATGATTTCTAAACAGCTTTTGAGGTATTAATTTTTTTTTCATTTTTTAATGCAAGAAATATTCAATATCATACAGAATAATCAGCCTTCTAAAGTGAGAAGGCTCTTTTAAATTGCAATCCCACACTTGATTTTGGGATAGTTACTTACTGTTTTGTACAACAGGTTTCTCAAACTCCGTGGAGATCAGGTGCTGGAAAGTCTGTCCATGGTTTGCTTGATGAGGTCTTTTATGGGCTGATGTACCCCATTTCTAATGATGGTGAAATTATTAGAAGAGGGTTTTTTTTGCAGTACTTCCTTTCCTCTTTTAGGGTTCCTTTCCTGTTGGGAATATAGAAAGTTGTGGGTGGATAGCACGGGGTGGGAAAGGGAAGACAGAAAGAGCTCTCAGTAAGTGGATGAACATCATGGTAGGCAGTAAGGGGGGTCAAAGGGTGTCCTCATAACAGGGCAGGTGTTGCTGCAGGGGGGACCTTGGACATACAGGGACCAAATCCTCCTCCTCCTCCTCCTGCTTCTTTTTCCCATCTAAGGCTTTTAGCAATCTGTTAAAATAGCTGATCAGCTGATGAAATACTCCAGTGTAAAGCAAGGCATGAGTGCCAGTCAGAAGGTAGGGAAAAAAACCAGTCAAATTAAGGAATATCCCTGCTCATCACTGCCAGTTAAGGACTGAATGTTGTAGTAACAGTTTCCAGGAGAGCTGGTTGTCATTGCAAACCCTTATCTTCCTTGTTCCTGAACTGTAAATAAGCAGTGAAAACATACAGCTGCCACTATCTAAAGTCATTGCCCAATAGTAATATTTTAATAAATAAATTATTTTTAATTGCCAATAAATTAATACTTTTAAGATGCCCCTGCTCATGGCAGGGGGGGGGGAGGGGGGAGAGCTTGTCGTCCCTTCCAACCCAGACATTCTATGATTCTATTTTTTTGTGGAAAGCCAGCATGCCCAAAGGGATGGGCAGTTGCCCTCTCTGCCTGTCTTGAAGTTAGTGAAGCTCTGAATACTTCAGCTGAGGGTTTGCCCACTGTGTTTTCTGCTGTCTTTCCCCCCTGCTAAAGGTCTGAACATAGTGCACCTCCTCAGCCCCTTTCAAAACTGTGTGAGAGGTGTGTGACAGGAGAGAAATAGTTGATTTTTTCTGCTCCCTGGTCTGCCAGGTGTATTTGGAGGGTCCCTTCTGGCAAAATGATGCACAGATCTTCCAAAAGGAGGCAAAGGAAATTGGTGGTCATATGTCAGGCTGTGATCTAGCAGAGAATGAGCATGAAGGGGAGCAGGCACCATGAGCCACCTGGTCCCTACCTCACCTGGAGAAGAAACAGAGAGCAGCCAGGGGCAGGGAGGACACCAGTGCAGCTGGAGCCCCAGGACTTCAAAGGTGCCTTAGAGCCAAACTTCCTGTTTTTCTAAGTGAGACCTTTCCTAAGGATGTTGGAGAGGCCACGACTGGGGTTCTAACTTCACACCAACACGACAGCAGCGATCGAGTTCTTCATTTTGCACTTTCTTTTTGTGTGTGTGTTTGTGAAAAGGAGACTTAATCATGTTTTCCATTCTTTCTAAAGCAGTCTGAGAGCCTCAGGGAGAAGTGCTAGGCAGGAGCAGTGCCATTACAGATAAGCTTCCAGATGATACACAGCTTGAGGTGATAAAAATAACTCACAACTGGGACCACAGCAAAGATTGGGGTAAGGAATGGTTGGGGAAAGATAGGGAAGTCCATGGAATTTAATGGCTGAGTAGGAAGAAATGTTGAGAGCACTGATCACCCAGAGTAATTAACTTCCAAGAAGTGCACAAGGATCATTGCAGATCTTGCAAGATATGACAAACAAGAAGTAATTATTAAGTAGGATTATTCACTCATAAAAATGATTATTAATCATGCTATGAACTGTGATGAGGAAAAGCAGATATAAAATATTAATTGCTATGTGATGGTTAATGAATATATCCTCAGGTTGTGATAGTCCTAATTAAAAAAAATAAAATTAACTTCAGCAAGATTAAATCCAGGATAAGCTTCTACTGGGTATGAGCAAAGGCATTAAAATTTTGTCTTCCAAAAGCATTTTAGTTAGTTCTGGTCTCAGATGAAGTCAATCAGTGGAAGATGATGCTATTCATCTGAGAGAGCTTCCCATAAAAATGCTTCTGTAGGTGACCTGGTTTTGGAGTCTGATATCCTGACAATGCTGGAGGGAAGTGGTTTTTTATTGCCTGTGAGATGAGGGACTGGAGCCTTGAGATCAGTGATTCAAAATGAATGAGTACTTGTTTATATACTCCAGAAACATCCTATTTCAACTTCATACAAAGCTCTTCTTACAAAGTTTATAGCAGCAACTGTATTTTTCTAGGTATAGATCCCTTTAGTAAGGAAGCATCACCCCATGTGATGCAGGCTCAGCAGCTGCCTTGGCTCTGGTCTGTAGTGTCACACCCCCAGGGTCACCTTTCTCTTCTTTGTCTGAGAACCTGTCCTAGGCAGTGAAAACTAAATCCATTTCCCTGCACAAGACTGAGCTATGACAAAACATCAGCCATGGGGGAGAAATTCTGTCTGCAGACTTGACCAGAGCAGAGAACTGTAGAGAGTAGCTTTTAGTGTAATGTTTTATTTTTTCTATAGGGTAGTTTGGAGAAGCTGTTGTTTCCTATACCACCAAGAGGTTATTTGTGATGAAAAGGCCACAGTTTAGCAGCAGTTCAGGCTACACACATGAAACAGTAGGAGAGGAAGTTAATTCCTGGAGCCCCTTGGCCAGTATGTCTCCTCCACCCTTCAGGCTCCTCAAATGCCAAGTTTTTCTCTCTCTGCCAAGAGCTCTGCCATGTCTGCTTCTGATCACTCTAGCATTATGTAAATTCTGGCTTTTAGGCACCTGAACTTGTGAAGAGGTATTGTCTGAAATACAGGCTTTACCTCTGAAAGGTGTCTAAAGCACAGACTCAGGTTGCTTTTGAACAACCCAAGTCATGAGCTGGGAGTGGTGTCAGCTCTAGCTGGCTTGCCCCAGAGTTCTCAGAGACTTGCTGCAGTCTTGGTACCCATTTGAACAGTCTCCACCTGCATTACACACAAGCTGACAAACATACCATTTGATTCTAGGTTTACAGTCACTTTATTAAAACTCAGATTCTTCCATTAGTAGAATTTATCAATATTAAAAATACAAGACCTTTAAATGTACATCGTTCTCTCAGGCAGGGAGTTTCTATGAGGTTGTGAAACAGAGATTACAGCCAAGATTTGTTTTCCCTTATTCAGAGAAAAACAAAGCAAAAAGTAAAACCATTGTTTCAGCTTTGTCTCACATGAGGGTGAATCTGAAGTAACTTCACAGAAGTCAGTGGGTAGGATAAATCTTCCCCAGTAAAAGGCTGGATAGTTTTACATTCATAGACATATACTGAATTACTCCAGGGTCATCCCTTGGTGAGAGTATCCATACACCATCGTAGACTGAGCTAATAGTGCAGTACTGTGTAGAAAAACAGAGAGCCCAAGGACCTTCTGAATATTACACTGATCAGGTGATAGCTGAAGCATGAGATTAATTTACTTGTAGATTATCTAGGTGTGAGTAACCACAAAATTATAAATAGCACCTTCTGAAAACCAGCACTCATGCAGAACATTCTGACTTGCACCAGGGTGGAGGTCTACACTCATCCAGCTCTGTGGGAGGTCATCTTCTTCCCTACAGTATGTGAAACTATCTGCCCTTCACCCTTAAATGCCACACTGGTGAGGACAGCAAGGGTGAGAAGGGATCTGCATTCAGTTGTTAATAAATATAACAAGCAGCTCAGAAAATAAGCAATGTAAGAGTCCAGCTATAAAATGAAGAAGCCTGCAGACGTTCAACCAGAGATTAACCTTCTGGTGAATTCGTGTTTGGTCAGAGATTTTATTGCCAATTAATAAATAGGTGTTAAATGAGATATTAAGGCTTTCTTCCCTGTGAGGTGCAGCACTGATTATGGCTCCATTCAGTTGGCCTTAGATGCTTGCTTAGAATGGGATTCTTTGCGTTTGGTGGTCTGTTTCTGATCTATTTTCTTCATGGCAGTCTTCACCCATTTCTGATCAGGGCTCACGCAGACCTTGATACCATCTTTCTTGATAAACCTACAGAAAGAAAGAAAAACCAGGTGGCCATTAAATTCCAGTCTCCAAAGCCAGGTCAACTGTTGTTGGGTTTTATGCAGAACATGAGGAACAAGGAGGTAAAACCATATCATGGGCCAGAGTTTGCAGCTGTTAGTTGGGATAAGAGCAGTTTGCAGCACTGGTTCCCTGTTCATGGTCTTGGTGTGCATGGCACACACATACTGATATTTTAAAAATGGGGCATACCTGATATCCTGAGATTTTTGTATGTAATCATGATGCACATTTACCTGCCAGGAACAGTTCCCAGATTTGATAAAAATGCATGCTCATGAGATCTAAAGACCAAACACATCTCCTAGAAAGAGTCAAAGCTACCCCAAACTCCCACATGAGAGTTTTCCCTTGGCTCAATTCACCGCACTGGACTTCTGACTGCTCCTCAGTGAGATTCTTCCCACCTTTCTGGGCACAGAAGATCTGTCTGCTTGGTGAGACTTCTGTCAGCATTTGTGAGCAGCAGAGGTTCCCCAGCTCTCTGAAGCTCACCCCTCTCTCATCACTCCCTCAGCTGCCAAGTGACTGCTTCATGGGGGAACTGGAAGAGTGGCCTGAGCTAGCCAGATTTAGTGAGTTGGGCCACGATGATGCCCTTTCCCTTTTTGATGGTAGTACATTTAGATGGACAAGTTTGAAGGTGAACTGTGCACTGGATGCTTACATGATGGCCTTTACTGGAGCTTCTTGCTTTTCATAGCTGATAAGGTTTCGGATGTTCAGTTGCTGTGTAGACAGAGTTACACAACTGAGCCTGGACATGGACTGACTTCCAATGCTCCCTAGAAGGGGAAAATAGATAAATAACAAAGCAGTCAGTTCTATATTCATACTTAGCCATAATTGCTTCATAAATGATGAATTCCAGCAGACTTCCAGTTGTGGTTAGAACATGAGTGTCCTCACGACGTACAGCCACAACACCAGTTAAATAAGAGAGAGGAAGGTATTTTTGGTGATGCATCCTACCATCTCTAAAGTGTTATTTCAGTTGAAGTACTAATCTTCACCTCTTCTGCACAATTTTATAGTCATTCTGCCCCTAGGGAGTCACTGCTTCCACAGCACAAAATTTGGCATCGTTTGTAATCAGGTCTGTCATCTGCAATTAAGTTTCCATCTGGAGTGGCATTTAGAACCAGCAACTTCACTGGGTGGATTTTGAAAGGGAAGCAAGGCAATCCTCTCTATCCTCCAACATTTTCATATATTTCAGGGAAATGCACTGATGAATAATGAAGATCCTGATATCAGTGTAAAACTCTGTGGGCAGTTGTTACCTTACATGAGGATAACTGAAAACTGGAGATCATTTGAGTGAGATGGAGTATATGTGTACATTACTGGAAGCCTCCACTTGCTAGTTGCTGATTTTCTCCCACCCATCAAAGACAGCTTTGAGAAGGCATGATGGGGACAAACACAACACTGCTGTATTCTGAGGTTTCTTTTTAAAGAACATATAGAGAAACTGGCTTGAGGAAAGTCCAAGAGCTGTTCAGGTACAACTTGCAAAACATAAAACCTGCTTTGCATCATCTCATTATCTGTGAGGTTTTCTGTTTGAAACCATTGGAATACCTGAGGCAAAGACACACCAGCCTCTGGAGAAGTTGAAGCACAGCCAGTGCATGGGTACTGGCAGAGTGGCTAATTCCTGAGGTGTTTTTTTGTGCCTGAAGGAATGTGTCTTCTGATCTTGCTTTAGTCATGAGTATTTTTTGATTCATTACAAATATGTATCTTACTGCCTCAGTCAGGCTAGTTTTAATAATATGACACTAAAGAGCTGAAAAATAGTCTGGCAATCCTTACCAGTCCTGGAAATAGTCTCTCTACTACGAAACAGTCTCCAGAAAATGCATTTGGGAAATACCAACAAAACTTCTCTAAGCCTGGGAAAAAACTCAAACAGCTCTGAACCTATAACTACTTTTTTTTTTCTTTCTTTTTTTTCCTTTTTGTTTTTCCCCATGCTTTCTTTATAAATTTTCTTTCTAATCCTTTTCCTATCCCTTCAGATTTAGTGATATTGATGGCAAATTATGCAGCCTGGAGAATGACATTGCAAGCTGGCAACCCATAACACGAAGCCACATGTTGCCCAGATGAACTAGCAGCAGAATTAACTAACACAGGCCAACATAGCATGATCCAGCCCTAGGAGCACTAGGTCAACATACTCAGCTTGTAGCTACACAACCTCGTGAATAATTAGCAGGTCTCAGTTTGGTTTTGGTGTGGTTTTTGTGAAGATGCCTTTTCTGGGTGTTTCTCTTTGCATATTTTTGTGGGTTTGCGTATTGCTTGCATATGAGTGTTTTCTGTGATTTTTGTGTCCTTCTCTGCATGAATCTGAGCAGGTATAAGAAGATATGTGCTTGTGTATGTTCATGTTTTCACATGATATGGAGCCAAATCAAAAGTCACAGATCTAAACATCACCACACCCAAACTTATTCATAGCATGGCTAATAAACGTGCCACATCTCAGCGCTCAGAAATGGTCTCAACATATTAAATTGTATGAAATCAGGAAGAGAGAGAAGATATTTCTTAAATTCCGTGCTCTCCTTTGCAGTTTTTGTTCATATTTTGTCTGTCTGTACCAATATATTTGGCTAGAAACAAGCAAATAGGCAGCATGTGGTACAGAACTGGAGGAACTTTTTAAAGTAGGGGTGTCAGAGGGATTGAGGTTTACATAGTTAAAAACAAAACATGATAAAAATACACATAAAAGTAGAATATCTGGAAGAAGGAAAAAAGTACATTTTAGTCATGAAATACAGTTAATCTGTATAACTTATGGCATGACATTAAAAGTCACAGTGTTTTCAGGATTTCATAATTTTTTAGAGAAAGAATAATGCACAGAAACCTGCTAAGTGTTCTAAGGCTCAGAAGCCACTAATTGACAGGGCAACAGATGAAGCCTCCCATAAAACTGCCTTTCTGTGGTACTGATCTGGATTTCATGCAAGCTTTAGATTATGAATCAGCTCTGACTGAGCCTAAATCCTGTTCATCAGAACTCTGGTGCAATGTAGAGCAATCCCTCTCTTCCTCTTGGGCTATAAACTTACCTCTCACTGTGTGCACAGCGAAGACGCCAAGCCAGAAGATGACCAGGAGAGGTGCCACGTGGAGTTTCATTGCTGGTGACTTCTGTGTCAAGGCAGAGAAGAAAGTGGCTGCTGTCAGGCCTCTTTCACAGAGTTTATATCTCGTCCTTCAGTGGTCAGTTCTTGTCTCACTTGAGGGGTGTCATGGGGGTGCTGACTATAAGTGGAAAACTTGAGCGGCGGTACTTTTTCTGGTGAGAGAGAGCCACCTCCTCTGCCCCCCCCAGCCTTCACTAGCCCCCCTGTGAAGGCTTTTCCTGCTCAAACCCTGCTGTGGTTGCACTTGCCTCTCTGTTGCAAGTGGGGTTTATTTCAAGCTGCAAAAAGTGAGAGCTCTTGTTCTGTAGTGGAAACCTTTCACAAAGGTTCCTGTCCTCTCACACCTCAAGCTGGAGAGGTGTAGCTAAGCCTCACCACGGAGGCACAGAGCAACATTCAGTCACCTCTTTGACCAATGGACCACTTCAAAGGGGAACTATGAGCTAAAGGATGATGGAAATAGGAACGCCTTGGCTTTTTCCATAGTGGCTGTAGATAGCTGGTCACTTTTAATGCATTGTTTTGGGGGGCTACCACGCCAATTTCCAACGTGTGATAGAGCTCATCAAAACTCTTCCCTTTCCCCTGTGATTTGACATGGGCAAAGCTGCTGTCTCTATGTGCTGGGAGAAGAGTGAACATACTTTTACACACAGAGCCAGACCCACTAACCCTCCTGCCAGACAGGCATAAATAAAATACAATGCTTTCAAAGAAGAATAAGAATTTATATTATTTTTTGGGGAGGGTGAGAGGGGTTGCTTTGTTTTTTTCTTTTTGGTGACATAGTCTTTCTAGTATGAAGGATGGAGCCCAAGAACATAACTAGGCAATCAGAGTGGTACAATTGATAGGAAAGAAGAAAAAAAGTTCATTGCACTTCCATGTAAACATGGTGTTGATAACAGGTCACCTCATTCCAGTTGTACCTCTATCAAAAGTGTCCTTTTCTGTGGTCTGTGCTAGTCCTGCTGCCCAGTTTTAGGTGTCCTTCCTGTGTTGTGGTCAGAGTTACTGGACAGCAATACTACAAAGCAGCAGTTTTGCACCTGCAAATATTCTTCAAGCAAGCTGGGGACCTCCAAGCCACACATGAAGCAGCATCTGAGCTGGTGGCATTGTCCAGAGCCTCTGAGGAGAAATCACTTCTCCTGCTTTACACTGTAAAGCATGTTTTTCTGTGACCTGTAGACAAAGCCACACATTGCTAGACCCATGGAGACCCTCCCAGGTCTGCTGTGACTAGATAAGCACCAGGCTGCCCCAGTGCCTTTGGTTGTAAGCAGTGGTGTAGGACAGCTGTCAGGGCAAAGCCTGGAGCAAGTGTCTACTCATGTGAGTCTGAAGTTTCTCCTGCACTTAGCTCCAGGCCTCAACTCAGCTGTTTACTTCCAGTTTTCTAAATTCTTGATACCATCCATGAAAATTACTTTGCATGGGGAACCACACTACGTGGAAGTCAATTCCCTAAGATTCCTCAGGCAAGTTAAGAGCAAGCTAAGAACTTAACTCAAGTGCTTGACTCCTAGGGTTTAATGGCTGGCCTGTAACCTCAGGGACAGTCTGTAGGTCTTGCAGGTACAGAACATGCTGCTGGGTTTGCTCCTGTATGCACACACATTCTCTCTTTCCTTTGGTTTGATTCTTTCATCTTACATTTACAGGGAAAAGCAAAGACTGAAGTAACTGGTAAGCAGATGTAAGGTACCTGCTGCTTTACTTGAGTGCCTGCTAAACCCACTCACAACACTAATGAAGCTGCAATGAAATGGAAGCCAAAGGTTCAACCAAAGCCCTTAAAGGACACACCTTATGCCATGTAGGGGATTGACCATATTGACTTCAGAAGTCTAGTTGAGTTTGTGTCCAAGCAGTGTAGCAGCCTGGTGTTTTTGTCATTGGTGGTAGAGAGGTTTTCTCCCCATTAAGAGAGGAGGAGATGCTCCCCCCACTTCTGCTCTTTGATATGGTAGGCACATGTATGTGTGTACTGACTGTCTACAGCTTTGAGAGGAGGGGTCACCTCCTGTATGGAGCATGAGCCAGCTCAGAAAAAGTCATTCCTTCCCACAGAAGCTTCTGCAGGTTGCAGATTCATGTCTGAGGTGTCGTTAGAAAGCCTGTTGCTTCCATCAGTTTTCCACCATTCTTAATGAGGGGTGGAAAAAATGCCCTATGGCAAGTTTCCCCCCTCTTTGTAGTTCTCATTTACTATGGCCTTTTGGGCTGTGGTTTGTTGTGGCTGGCTGATGTCTGGTGAAGAGGTGCAGACAGTGGACACTGCACGTGTGGATATGGAGCTGTATCAGTGCTTTGGAGCCTGCTCCTGTGCAGAAAACCCCAGGCTTTGAGAAAGTTTCCTAGGCTTTCTATATGACATGGGGAGAGGGTGAGACACAAGGCTCTGGGAGAGCACAGCAACAGCAAGCTCCTGCTTGAGGAGTTCAAGGGCTCTTCCAAGCCCTTCAGCCCCTGTTCATGCAGAGCAGACTGCTTCCATTGTTAGGAATAATATCAGTCTCAAGTGTTGCATCTTCTCATACTGTAGTTAGCTTTCAAAAAAAGAGAGGCCAAGATCTTCACAAATTAAGTAAATTCTTATGCATTCCTAGCAATGAGCATCTTTAGAGAACGTTCAGCAGCCCCTTGAACTTGAAGATGTGCCAGGAAGTCACTCACTTTTGAAGACTGAATTTGGGCATTAAGAGACTTTAAGAGGGGACCCAAGAACTGCAGCTTGGACACATCTGTCTCTCAGACAACTGCTTTTTTGGGTTGGAGTTGTCTCTCTCAGGAGATACATCCCTGTCTCTATTACCCACAAAGGCAATATAGACATATATCTAATGCCAGGCACATTAAGTGAGCAAAGTTAGGTGGGAATAAATCTGACCATAATGTATTTTGGGTTTACACTGTTCACAGATTTCTGGTTTTAGGATTTCCAACCATTGACATCCAGCTGTAATATTGGCATGACTTCCCTTCCCTCTCCTTCCTTTGCTTTTCATCACTTTTGCTCTGTAGATCTCATGGGTACCTGAGGTAACTGTTTATGTTCAGCCTTCTTCATTCATATTGTAATGGAACAGAAACAAACACGTTTGGTGCTCACATCTCAGCTGAGAAACAACGACTTTTAAGCTAATTTGATCACTTAAATCACATTTTTTAATAAGTACTCTGTTTTGTGCTCGTTTTGGCAGAACTCCTCCTTTAGAAATGTAACATTAACACTTTCTCTTAATCACAATAGAGTTTTTGCTTGCAGGCCATCTGTTTCCACCACCATCCTGCCAGCTTTTCCCTGGTCCTGCTAACACTCTCCTCCCTTGATGTGCTCTTAAACGTGCTCTTAAATTAGTTGCACCAAAATCTCCCCCTCAGTCACTCAGCTTGAAGTATTCAGGTATGTAAAATGAGACTGAGAATGATTTGTTTGTTTGTTTTAAGATGGCTCAACATGATTGTAGCATTCTGTACAGCAGAAGTCTCTGGTCTTTCCTTCATTCAGTGTTGTTTTGGGGGGATTTTTAGGTTTGGGTTTTTTTGAGTGCATAGTTACATGGTCACCCAAGAGTTTTACAAGATGACAACTTCAGTCCTCTTTATAATCTTAGTCTTGTGTGGTTTGGTTCTTTTTAAGATGTATACCAGGAAGCTAACTAAACACTGCAGTGCTATTGCTGCTGGGAATTACAGAGGTGACTTCCATTCTGTGAAGGCATCTAAATATTGTACCTGTTGAAACAGGAGCCAAGTACCTTTGGGAACTTGTGGAATACTCTCAGTCCATCCTATCACTTTTTTCTTTCTTGTTTCGTGTTTGTTTTCCTTTTTTTTCCTGCTTTCTCATCCTCAGTTCTCACGTAAAACAATGCAGATTTTGATTAGGACTTCTTTCTGTGTGTGCCCTATCTGTTGGATCAAGGATGTGGGAATCAAGTCTTATTCTTCTAGTTTCCAACAGAAGAATCAAGCCTATTGTGCAAGAAATAAATATACTTCTTGGTTAACCATGGATAATCAATGTCTGTAGACACTGGAGTTGGAGCTGAACCAGTACCTTGCTCCTGGGTAAACCTGAGCTTTCCTCAGAAAACTGAAGCATCATAGAATGGTTTGGGTTGGAAGAGACCTTTAAAGGTCATCTAATCCAATCTCCTTGCAGTGACCAGGGACATCTTTGTGTAGATCAGGTTACTCAGAGTCCTGTCTAACCTGTTTCCAGGGCTGGGGCTTCTCTGGTGTTTTACCACTCTCATCATTAAATTCTTCCTTATATCTAGTCTAAATTTACCATCTTTTAATTTAAAACCATCACCCCTTGTCCTGTCACAACAGGCTCTGCTAAAAAGACTGTCCCTGTCTTTCTTATAGGCCCCCTTTAAGTGTTGAAATGCCATAAATAAGGTCTCCTAGAGTCTTCTCCAGCCTGAACAACCCCAAGTCTCTCTGCCTTTCTTCACAGAGAGGTGTTCCAGCCATCTGGTCATTCCAGAGCATAATCTGAAGCCTCCCTTGCTAGGTTAACAAAGGTTCTCTTACTACGCCCTCTCAGATAGATCATGTCTCAGGATCCATCACCCAGAACAGTTACTCAAAGAAGCTGGAAAAGCTAAAGCTGTTTCTGAACAGCAGAATTTTGACCAATGGTCTGAGACAAATGGATCAACTGGGCTTGCTAGGGGGATTGTCTTGGCTCCACCAACCAAATTATCTTATAGATTCATTAATGACTTGGCTGCTAGAATAAAACATATACTTAAGAAGTTTATGGGTGACATGAAACCAGGAACCATTGTTGTCCTGTTAGAAAGGAAGATAGAATTTCATACAAGGTCAAAAATTGTAGGCTAGGTAGTCACTTTGGAGAAAAAGAACTACAGTTTACAGGAGACAAACCAACTGAGTCATTGGTGTCACACTACTTCACACAAATTTAACAACCCAAGCAGCAGGTTCTAGACAGCAGAGCAGGAAGCTCTGGAT